CTTCTTTGCAAGTAGCCAAGCGATCCCATCTGAGCTCACATGCTTCACTCAAGCCCAGCCTGTAAGGCCATGGTCACCCCACCTCTGGATTGTTCTGTCCTGGTTTCAGAGCTTTCTGTCTCCATTAGGAGAAATAGGCTCAATGTCAGGCAGCTTCCTCAGCAGCTGAATTTAAAGCTGGGAAGAGCTCCCCCATCCACAAGTAACCCTAATTTCCACTGATAGGGGTTTCGTTGAATGACTCAGGGCCCATTCTGATGATGGGACACCAAGCAGCCAGTGGTGGAAATCAAGATGGTTTGGAAAGATGCACAGATGAACTTTTTTTATTTTAATAGGTGATTGTTTTAATGTGTATTAAGAAAAATGTAAATAGTACATGGCCCTATGTGATTGGGTCTCTGCTGCCCTCGCTGACCTTGTCCCCCACTCTCCCTGTTATTTACTTCATTCCAACCCCACCGGCTCCTCATCATTCCTCTAACACACAAGGCGCCCCAGGACCTTTGCACTTGCTGTCCTCGCTGCCTGCAATGCTCTTCCTCACATAAACGCAAGGCCCACTCCTTCTCATCGTTGAGGCCTCAGCTTTACATGTCACCTCCTTTCCTGGCTCCTAACTCTGCCCCTCACTCCATCACTGCCCTTTATGTGGTTATTACTCTGTCATTATTTGTTTGTTTGTTTATGTCTTTTTTCTACCTTCCCCTACTAGCCTGTGAGTCCTTTGAAGGCAGGGGCTATGTCTGTCCTGTTCACCACTGTCTCCTGGGTGCTGTATGAGATACACCTGGCACGTAGCAGTCAGTATGGACCAGAGGAGGAAGCCATCGGTGGGAGAGTGAAGGTAGCAGTAATCTGAAGGCTAGCTCAGCTCTACCAGCCAGGGAGACAGCCTTTATGCCTAGAGAAGGGCAGAGCTTCTTACCTCCCATCAGGGGCCTCCAGGTCTCAGTGCCTCTGTTCTCTTGAGACTCTGAGAAATCAGAAATCGAGGTCCCAGCATGATGACTTTGCAAAACGCACACATCTTACATCTGCCCAGCCAGTGGTCTCTGAGCCAGTCATTTAAAGCATGGACACCCTCTGCCCCCGCCACCTCCCCAGCACCCCATTCATTTAGGCCTGGTCACACAGCTCGAGTCTGGTTCCAGAAGCTCCCCCTTTACCTGGATCCTTCACAGGATGGTGGTTGATGAGAGAGGCTCTGTGCAGGGAAAAGGGTGCTGATAACAGAAAGCAGAAGAGGGGCGTTTAACCAGCCGGGAGATGGAGTGGAAAATCATGTGTTCCCGCAGCTGAGGGTCTGTGAGTTTGTGAACCTTCGGAAATTCTGGGCAAAACTGTGTGAGGGTGCACTTGTCACAATCTCAGAGGCATCTGTGATTCAGAAAATGGCTGCTGGGGCAGATGATCCTCCAAGGTCCCTTGCAGCTCCCAAGCCTGTGGTTCTGTGACCATATAAGGCCACTGTGCCTGGGAAGTCTCACTGCAGCTGAGTGCAGTCTTGCACTGAGAGGGGGGAGCAGAGAGCAAAGGGAGCCCAAGCCCGGACCTCCTGCAGGGTCCCCTAGGCAGCAAAGAGGTGTCGAGTTGAAGGAGGCCAGGGGTCCCTCCTTGGTTGCCTCTTCCCAAAAAGCTCCAACCTTCTCAAGTGGGCTTGGTGCCACTGTCCCTCTCTCTCCCCATCTCCACTTGAGATCTCCCTCATTGCATTGCCAGGATTCCAGAGTCCAGCCGGTGGCTCCTGTCCAAAGCCCGACACTCAGGCCTGCAGAGTCAGCCTGTGCTTGCTCCCCATATTTCTTCTGCTTTGGTGGCTGGGAATACCTCTCAGAGCCCCTGAGTTTTGAGTGGGCATCAAGCTTGGCCTCCCTTTGCTACCCTTGTTCTACAGGCATAAAAATCTGGTGGGCTCCCACCTTGACACGTACGCCCACACACACACGCACACACATACACCTGCCTCCATTGTGAGCTCCTTGGAGAGGACTGGTCTTGGGCATCTATGTACTCTTGGCTCATGTGGTTATGTCTCACTTTCACTGGGTACTCTCCAGAGCCAGTCCTGTGCCAGGTGATATGGAGAGAGGAAAACTGAGGTGTGATCATCTGTCCTCCAAGGGCTGACAGGCTGGTGGTAAAGACAGAAAATTTATAAACAAGTCTACTTGGAGATGATCCCTGACAATTGTCATCAAGGTACAAAACACGCTTCAGTTATGACTCTATTGGTTGTAAGTGACAGAAACTCAAGTCAAATTAGCTTATACAAAAATAAGAAGGAATCATTTGGCTCACATCACTCAAAAGTGTAGGAACAGAGTTAGCTTCAGACGTGGCTGGATCCATTGGCTCAAAGGATATCTCCGGGACTTCATTTTACACTCTGTCACTCAACTATGTAGGTGAAGATTAGTTTATCTGGGAGATGCCGTTGACTGCAGCTAAGGTAGCCCATGCAGCCTCCCGCCTGCTCTCCCAGTCCTGGTCCTGCCTCCTTCAGGACTCAGACCTGGGCTATCACAAGAGACCAGATTGCCCTGGGCTGTTCCTCCAACTCAAACCAGACACCTCCTTTCCTTACCTCACACTCCTTGGGCTGGCATTGTAGGAAGTGTGCCGATGCCCAATTTGTGTGTGAAGTCTCTGGACTCTCAGGGAACCTCGATATAGATATAAGACCCAGGGCAGAAGAAGCAGCCCTGCCTCTCAGCATTTGCCTGATGGTCACAAGTAGGGCCTCTAATGCCACTGTGACACTCGGCCAACCGTGTGACCTCAGGTAGGTGGCTTAACCTCTCTGAGCCTCAGTTTCCTCATCTGTAAAAGGGAAATAATGATTTTTGTCTCCTAGAATTGTTTCAACTAGTAAATGAGATGCTGCATGTAAAGCACTTAGCGCAGAGTAAACCCGGCCTAGATGGTCAGAACCTGAACATCTCCCAGCCTTGAGGAGCTTTGGGGAGTTACGACTTATAAGCTCCTGATTCTTGTTCCTTACCAAGCTTGTGAGGTCTCACCCTAGTCAGCCAAAGACTCAACGGGATCCCTACGCAGACGCCCTCTGTCTGCAGGGATCCCTCTCTGGTACTCTGCCCCTCAGATCCCAGCTGCTCAGCCATCCTGAATTCCGATCTTTATCTCACCAGCTCAGTGAGACCCCTGTGCTCTGCCTGGGCCCTCCCTGTCTGCACCGTGGTCTCGTAAACGCCTCCAGGCAGGCAGCCAAGGCACTCATAGGACTCACCAGGCTCAGTTCCCTTCTCTCTGGGATCGCAGTCCTGCGCCATCCACTCCCCAATGCCTGAAAACACTTGTTTCATATATTTTGTCCAGTTTTCTAGTTGTTTACAGTGGGAGCTAACAAGTCTGCTTGAGATCCCTCTGGAGTAGTGCTCCATGATCCAGACTGGGTGTGTACTCCCTCCAGAGATTTGTACAGAAATGGGTTTGTGGCCAACAAAGGTCAATGAAATGTCAAGAGGGTCATTCCGATCTGTTTCTTAGAGAAACCCAGAATAGGACCCACAACCCAGCACCAAGTTGAATTTTGCAACAGGAATCATTATTATTCATCACCTGGTACATGGGTAACTAAAATGTGGTATATGCAATAAAAATAAATGAAGTGCTGACACATGATATAACATGGATGAATCTTGAAAACATTTTACTGAATGAAAGAAACTAGTCACAAAAGACCACATCTTATATATGGTCCTATTTATATGAAATGTCCAGAAAGGTAAATTTATAAAAACAAAACGCAGATTAGCAGTTGCTTACTGCTGGGGTGGGGGATGGGGAGTGACTGCTAACAGGTATGTGGTTTTGGGGGGCGGTACAAAGATATTAGATTAGATTGTGGTGATCATTGCCCAACCTTTGGGATGCACTAAAAAAAATATTGAATTACACACTTTAAATGGGTGGATTGGATGTGACTTACGTCTCAATAAAGCTATTTTTTAATAAAGAATTGTTAGCAATTTCCTCCTGCTAGTGCAGGAGTGGAAAGGGGCCGTGGTGAGGTGGAAGAGCAGCCTCAGCTGCTTTGGAATTGGAATTGGTGCATGTTTCACATGGTGTTCAGTCTCGGACTGAAAAATGTGACCACAGAGGGGTTTGCACAGTTTATCGGGGGGTGACTAATGTTGGATGCTACTCTTAAAATCCATTTGCTCTTTCTTAATTCCTTCAACTGTAAGAGGATTCTAGCAGTTTTGGTTTTATGCTCTTTCTAGCTTCCTCCCCTATCCGGCACCTTGTCAGCAGTGAGCATTTACTGAGTGGCCCATCTGCAGGGAGAAGGAACATTCGGGCACGTGCAGTCTTAACCCTGGCCTCAGAGGAACCCGAAAACAGGAGGGCAGGGAGCATGTGGCCTCTGAGAACTGTGATGCCACCTCCGTGGCCTTTGTGTCACTCTGCAGAGCACCCAGAATAGGGTGACATGATGCTCAAGCCTCAGCCCAGGATGAAGAGTGGGCAGAATCCTTCCGTTGACTTTTCTGTTGTCAAAGATGCAGATGGTTGGTTTTGAGTGGACCCTCTGACCTCCCGTGTCTTAATCCCCTCTGGCTTCTTGCAGGGCTCTTCAGCTGTACACTCCTGAGTGGGTCTTTAAGTTAAGACTCTGAGCTTTGCTTAAAGATACTAACAGCTAACATTTATTGGGTGCTTAATGTGCGTCCCCCCTCTCTAAGTGCTTTCAAGTATTATCAACACCTTGTTGAGTGGCGTGGCTTTCACGTGTGCGGGGAATTTGAAAAGACTGCCTTTCTTTTTCCACTACTCTGTTTTTCAGATTTATTTTCAGTAATTCGGGTAGATTTTCCTTCAGACCCAATGGCACTAACGCAGCAGGTCAGTAATTCAGCGCCCGGATGGGACCCGGCCGCAGCCAGCTGAGCCAGGAGGGGGCCCGGGGGCTTCACAGCCGGTGCTCTCAGCCCCGCGAGGACTGTGCACTCAGTGGCCTGTTGGTTTCTCCCCAGGATCATCCATGAAGACGGCTTCTCCGGAGAAGACGTGAAGCAGTACAAGCCTGTCGTCTACAGCAACACCATCCAGTCGCTGGCAGCCATTGTCCGGGCCATGGACACTTTGGGCATCGAGTACGGTGACAAGGAGAGAAAGGTAGGCCGCTGAGCCCAGGGGCACAGTGAGGAGAGACACTGTCTTGGTCCCCTGTGGGTCACGCCGGGCTGCCTTGCGGTAACAAGAAGAGACCTGCTACATACTCGAGAGGAGGCCTGTCACCCACCTGAGCCAGGACACCAGTTCAGACCTGGCCAGCGCTAACAGGGGCTTCTCTGGGGGGCAAGCTTCCCAGCAAAGCGCAACAAGGACAACAGCCAGAGTTCCAGGGCTCAGTTTGCAGATAAGAAAGGGCTGGTGGCTGTTCTAAATTGGGATTCCCACGCGTTGTTCAGTACCTGCCCTTGAACAGTTCACTTGCATAGAGAAAATATTTCTAAAATTTAACAGTCTTACCTGGCCACCATCCCCTCCTTAGGAGAGTTCTCTGTGCCTTGTTTGGGGGGACGGGGCAGCCACGTGAATTGACTCCTGCTTCCCTCTCACCACGGGATGTGTTTTCTGCCTCTGGGGAGTGAGGGCCTGAGGGGCTCCCGTTCCTGTAGGAAGTGCTTGTCCTAGAACAGGGACTGTTTTTCACCTGATTTTCAGGCATCTGATAAGTGGTAAATGGAATAAGTATATAAAAGCCCCCTTACTTGCAAACATCTGCATTAACTGTGAGAGTGGACTTTATACAGCCACACTGGCAAAGCAAAATTAGAGGGAGGGAGGGAGGGAAACATCCTCAGGGAATTCTACCCAGAAGCAGCTCTTGGTCCCTGGGGGAATTCTGAGTCCCAGCATTCCTCTCCCTGTGACCTAGAGCATGGAAGGGGGGCAAGTGGAGGCCTCCAAGCACTTGGGCCCCGAGTGGAGCCTCTGGATGGAGAGCCTTTATCTTTGGGTGATCGGCCTGATTTTGCTAAAATCACATCCTGTCTTTGCTAAAAATCACCTCCATCTCAGAGGAAAACTATTCTCACCTCTGGGACAGAGAACGCACCTGTGACAGACAGCTTCAAATGTAAAAATTCAATACTGATGCACAGAATTCTAATTCCACTGTACGAAGTCGTCCCAGCTCAGGCCTTGGCTTCTCAGGGGAATTGGGTGACAGAGTGTTTCCAAGGCCAGCCGGGGCGGGGAAGCTGGGCCCTGGCAGAAGGGCCTGTCCGTGCTGGTTCTGCAGACAAGCACTTCTCCCCAGGGGACAGGCTTTGGTTTGGGTCAGAGAGCCAGGGCCCATGGAAAGAGGGCACTGCTAGTTCTCCAGCCTTGTTTCCTATAAGCATTCACTCTGAGCTCAGTGACTCAGGCACGGTGCTGGCTGCTGGAACACGGGAATGGGCACAGTGGGAGTGCCCGGAGGAAGCAGTCAGCAAATACCTACTCCTATCATCCGAGTAGCCGAGGTGGTTCTAGGGCTTCATTCATTTTAGCAATAATAGCCACAGTGGTAACAAACAGCTATCATTTTATATTGAATTTATTGGGATGACATTGGTTAATAAAAGTATATATAGGTCTCAGGTGTCCGAGTCTATGACACATCCTCTGTATATTGTACTGTTTGTTCACCACCCCAAGTCCAGCCTCCTTCCATCACCATCTATCCCTGCTTTACTCTCTCCTACCTCCCCCCACCCCTCTTCTCCTCTGGTAGTCACCACACTGTTGTCTGTGTCTAAGAGGGGTTTTTTGGCACTTTTTTTCTTCTTAATCTCTTCACCTTTTTCCCCTAGACCTGCAACCCTCCTCCCCTCTGACAAACAGCCATTGTTTACTGAGCATCTACTAGCTGCCAGGCATTGTGCTAAGCTCTTTCCATGTATTAACTCATTTTAACTAACTCCAGCATTAAAGCCCAGGGCATGAAATGCCTGGTCTGTTCTTCAGACACAGGACAGGCTGCAGGCCTTTGCTGTCTGTCCATCTTTTAGACAAAGCGAGAACGTGGTGCCTGCATCTCAGTTAACCAGCTGGCAGACACAGTGGAATGGCATCTCTAATTTTTTCCAGTTCCCAAGGAAAAGTACCTATAATTTCATCACTAAAGGAATAGATGTTGGTTGAGTACCCACTCTGTGTAGGCTTCGTGCTCAGCCCTTGTAAAGATTCAAAGGTATGTGAGATGGGCCTTTAAGGAGCTGGGCATCTTCTGGGGAAGATAGGGCTCACTGGCTGAATGAGCTCGGGTCACTCCACAGGATGGCCAGGGAAAGCTTCTTGGAGGAAGTGAGGCTGGAACTGTCCTCGAAACAGGTGTGGCGTGGCAGGTCCAAGTGTGGGAGAGGAAAGGGACTTGGAGAGGGGAGGAACGTGAGTAAAAGCAGTGGGTTGGCAATGACCGAAGGAGATTTGATTGACACAGGCCAGTGGCCAGAGCAGAGGCTTAGGAGATGGGCCAGGTGTGGGAAAGTTGGAGGATACAGTTAGGTCCAGATTCTGGGGCCTTGGAAAGAATGCCAAGGGGTCTGGGTTTTACCCTGTTGGCAGTAGGCAGCCTTTGACAGTTTTTGAGCTGGGAGGGATGGATAAGAGTAGACTTCAGGGAACTGTCATGAGGGCACCTGCAGGGTGGGCCAGTGGGAAGAGACTGAAGGCAGGCAGGCGGCGGGGCAGTGATGGTGACTGACCCCCCATCAGGGTCTCGATGGAAACGAGAGCAGCCACGTGGTGTGGTGACAAAGAAAGGGGACTGGTGACTGGCTACTGGGGCAAAAGGATAAGAATCAGGAAACTGAAACTCCAGTGTGACCAGCCCGGGCGACCGGGGACAAGGCGAACCCGTGGGCAGAAAGTCAGGAGATGGGGCCACGTACGGGACTCAGGTTTCCACCTGGGGGGTTTCCAGGTGGGGGTGATCCCCATGCGGATGGACTCGGAACTGAAGCGTTCCGTTTCCGTGCTCCAGGCCTGTTTTAAACAGTGTACGTGAATGAAATTATTAACACGAACAGCTCCCTGTGCGGCAGGTGCTGTCGTTGACCCCATTTTACAAGTGAAAAGTGAGGTGCAGTGACCCTAAGTGACTTGCCCAAGGTCATACAGTACAAAATACCTACGTATGTAGCATAGAGACATAGAGACCTAAGCCTAGTGAAACTACAATCCGTGTGGCTCAAGGCTCGGAGCAGAGTCCCATTTAAATAGGCGCCGTACAATCAGGCAAAACGTTAAATCATTAAAAGAATCCCATGTTTTTTCCTGCGTCTCTCTAAAATATGAAAAAGGACCCAAAGGACAACTGCCACTGCTTCTCTCCTATAGCCTTTCTGTCTGCCTCCGGTCTGTCCCACCCCACTCTCTTGAGCTGCTCATCTCCCCAAGTTCCCCAGAGACCCTCCCTCTA